GTTTTAAAGGGGTGTTTCCTAACAGTTCTAGCGGCCAGTCTTAATTTGTTTAGCTAGAAGCATTTGCCGAAAAAGCCGGTAGCAACAAAAACTGCGGGGGGAACTATGCAAAAAACGCATCTTCGCAAGCAGCCCGTGCGTTGGCCAGTTTTTTTTTTTTTCATTTTGACGATACTTTTTAGTACTCTGAAAGCTTCGACGTACATTCCTGTGCACCTCGAAGGAGGAACTCGTTTGAATAGCAGATATTGACGAATTTATTTCTTATATCTACTGGTTTTCCTGGCTCCACTTGCGAGCCACGGAGAGAGGTTGTGGCATGTGTATCAGCCCTCTACTAGCTTATAACACAGTGGAAAAAGTACAGCAGCAGTAGTGGAGAGAGAATATATCAGTTTGTGAAAAGTATTTGCAGCATTGTCCGGACTGGAGCCTGGCCATCGTATTCAGTCCTTTGATGAGGCTAAGCGGCTTGATCAGATCAACGAGCGTATGCCTCCGTCAATGGCCGCCACACCGTCACAGTCGCCGATGGCAAGTCCGTCGGCGCGTCGACCCGGTTCCAATGCCTCCAACAGTGCAACAAACTGAATCCGGCCTGCGCGTCAACAGTCGTTTCGATGCGCCGCCAATTTCTGATAGTTTCATTTAATACTTACCATTTTTGTATACTTTGTGCACTACAAACTGTTTGTTGAATTCTCACAAAGCCAAAGAATTGTCCGTTGGAAAAGAGAGCCAGTTTTACCAGTAAGTGAGCCAGCAAACTTGCCATTCATCTCGAAATGAGACGTTCATTTCGAGGTAGTTTCGATTTTTTTTTTTTTTTTGTTGAGATTCTACCCGGATACTCATTACGGAGATACTGTATTACTAGTTTTGCTGGCACTGGCCCACACACACCATGTACATCTGTGAGGTTCAGTCACCAAACATTATCCTTGCCATTCATTGTTTTGCAGCTCACACTTGAGTTTTGTGCCGCTTTTCTAGTATTTTGCGGGATTCTGTTGTAATTACGCATATTTTAGCGTATTTCATGTCAGGTCAATAGAAAAGGCGGGGATTTTGCGAATTGTCCACTCCTCTTACCTCAGTTTTATCACTTAGTAGGGTCAGGAGGAAACAGATTCCAGTTTTTAAACAGTTGGTTGGAATGTTTGGGATTTTGACGCAGGTCACCGTATTTTGCCTTCCTGCCTTTTGTGGGATCTCATTTTATTCATTTGGCAATGACCGGTGGATTTATTTAACTTACCCCGGATGCATAAAATCCCCTAAGGTTTTTCTGCAAAATTTTTAGGTTTTTGCGGCACTTTGATGGTTTATAAATTTGCTTTTG